GGATGGATGCCTCTTCGTGGTCGCCCCTAAACCCTAAACCCTAAACCCTAAACCCTAAACCCTAAACCCTAAACCGTCAGACTTGTGTTCGATTCCGCTTATGACCTGTGGGATGCCTGTCGACCTGTCGGGGAATCGCAGGATTAGCGGGATTATACTGCCACGACCGAAGCACTGCCGAGCCTGCTTGCGCCTTGAACCTGTAACCATATATTGGTCAACAGACAGTACTTCTCAAGTCATAATTAATCACCAGCGACGAGGGAGGAGATTGCTGCCAGCACTACAATTGCAGCATCAGTAGCAAAAGCTATCGATGTGCTTTGTAGATACGTGGGTTGTGGTAAGCGAAAACTGGCGTGTGTTAGTAGTAGTGGCTGCAATCAGGATGAACCTAACTTGTGACGCATGTTAGACGTAACAGACATTCAGAGAAAGCAAAGCCGAACTCCTCTCTGATGCAGTTCCGCGAGAAGCAGCAAGTCTGGCTCGGTCAAGTCTCGTATCTGACACTAGACGAGGCGCTGGGGCAAGTGCTATTTCTTTTCTTCGGGCGGTCTGAAGACGACTTTGTGGTCGCACAGTAGGTGGCAGGCTTCTTCACGGCGCGATTGTTGGGGTTGACTATGAATTGAATTCAACAATGGGTGTGTGCGATATCTTCCCAAGTTGTGCTGTATGTGCTGTCAGGATAGCAGGCTCATGAAGGCCATGCCAGAGGGAAATATCAGTCGGTTGTAGCACGGCGTTTTGCCACTGCGAACCAGGCAGACAGAATGCTGGACATGGGCTTCGAGCCGCAAATTAGAAGAATCGTGGAGGACACGGTGGTTGATGGCACTTGAACTCTTCTCCCAGGGGTGCAAGCGCCGGCAGGACTGCCCTACAAGGCGGCAGACTCTGCTGTTCAGTGCAACGTGGCCCAAGGCAAGCCAACACTGTTTGGATCTACTGTAGCTGGTCTGGACTTCGAAGTGTGCTTGAATTTCATGATGTGCTCAGTGCCACATGTGGGAACGTGCCTGGACTGCCGGCTCCGAAACCTTGCTGGCTCGAAGCTGGACATGTGGACACGGGTGGCACATGTAGTCGCCATGTAGTACAGCTCGAAATCATTCCACCCCGAAGCTTAGGTGCTCTCTCGATAGTGCGAGATCCAAGTTGACGCTGGTCTTTCACTTCTTTCTCCCATTGTTGTGTCAACATGGTCACAAGGCGTAACTGCCGGACAGCTTCAAGAGCATTCGGAGAGGGCCGTTTAAGGGAGGTGCCCCTGCAACAGGTAGGTCATTACTAGCCCACACCTTTGGGGCACTTCACAAGCTTCGCTCGCGACGCTGGCAATCTGCGCCTGCCTGGAAGAGGCGAGGGAAAGTCATGTGGCCCCCGGCGAGAAGCAATGCCCAATGCTCGTACATGCAGCTGCTTTGTATTGTGGGCACCGCTGAACACAGCAGACGCATTGTGAGCATTGGCGAGCTTTCTGAGAAGTCGCCGTCGCCGAGCACAAGCCTTAAGTTTAAGAGGTGCAGCCTCTCAGCAGTAAAAGCTTGTTGATTGTAATCTTCAAAATTCTAACGCCCGTTTGTTCAGGATGCCGTGGCCCTCATCAAGCTCGCCAGGAACTTGAATCTCGGGTACTAGGGTCTCCCACAAGATATGGCATCAAGTGCGCCATGTCAAGTGGAAGACTCTGAGGCTTCCTGCCGCCGCAAGCCTTGCTGCTCTCGGGCTTGCAGGCACTTGGAGTTCGGCACACAGTGGCGACGTTCAATGGGATGGGGAGCACGTGGTCGTGCCCTTGACAGCTTGTCTTTGTCGACGATGGTTTTTGGATCCCATGGCTTAATGCATTGTCTAGTTTCGTATCAGCGCCACAGCAGACTCCCTGTTGTGCTGTACCATGTCATCCATCGACGAGGGCAGTAGCTGCTGCAATTTTCTGGAAGCATTGGCTCAAGAGTTTGTGCGCGTGGTCTGATACCATGCCCTGTTCCGCGCCAAGGTGGAGGCCTTCTACTTGTCAAGCCCAGTTTTGGACCCCACTAGACTGTTGCGGTCGGTTGGCAGGTTTTGGGTGCTTTTGTTGGCTGGATGTGCAGCCGGTGATCTCCGCGGTCATGAATTCGAAATCGACCTCAAGGCTTGCGGTGACTTGCGGGCATTGCAAGGGGCACCGCTGCATGTGTCCTCTCGTTTTGCAGAGGAGAGCATCTCGATGCCCATCCCTCCAGGGTTCACAGAGCCACGACGGCACTTTCAGTACCGACTCGGCAGCGCGGCGGGATGGTCGGATTAGTTATTCTCAGGCCCTGTCGCCGCAGCTGCCAGGCAAGCTGGTTGTGCGAGTCCCGGTTGCCAAAGCATCAGCCTCTTCAAGTCTATCTTCGGTTGTTGTCCCCAGGTAACAAGCTTCGAGGCGACACCCTTCGTGGGCAAGAATGGTGCCTCGCAGAAGTCTACAGAGAGAGCCTAGGCATAGCCGGAATCTTTCCAAGGGTATCCAAGGGTATTTAAGACCTTGAGGTGTCTTCCTCGTGGACGTGGGATCCCATTCAGGACCTGCCCAGGACCGGCCACCAGCAGTCACTCTCTCGAGTGTTGTATAACACTAATCACTCTTGCATTGCTGCTTCGTGGTTCTGATATCACAGGAGTTACCAGGCAGCGGCAAGATCAATTGGCCGAACAGCACCTTGCCTTTCGCTAGCTGCCTCAGCATGTTGTCTTTAGTCGTGCCCAAGCTTTGTGCAGCTGAGGCATCACGACTCTGAATGCCAGCGTTTTCGGCTTCACTGCGGTGGCCATTGGGAACGGCTTCCTCGTACCAACGCACACGACAGGCTGGACAGTGTGAGCGTGCTGTAGAGCTTCCGAGATTCACCGCTCCAGGTGGTGTCTACGTCATGGAGGCCTGGAAGCTGCCTCCTTGCTCGAGCTGAGTCAGCTCTTAGCTTGCCTCCAGGCAGCGACCCAGCCGGCCACTCTCCAGGAGCCTGTCCCACAGCTGCAAGCTAACTGCTTGACAAGAGCAAACGGGGGCTACATGTGCCTATGCTTATGAGATGCTCCTCGCCACATCCCAGGTCAAGATTTCCAAGGACCTGTCTGGCTGGTTCTACCACCAGGCCGTGCTTGTTTCGCAGTTGCACGCCCAGGCTGCATCATTGCCTGTCCGAGGCACACTTTGTGGATATGGATGGGGATGGGCTTTTGGATGTCCTCACCGCTAGATGCGAATACGCCGTCTGGCCCTGGGCAAAGAAGCGTGGCGAGCTGGTTTGGCTGAAGCAGCCGGCAAAGGATGCTTTGGCTGGGCCGCCGTGGGAAGAGCACGAGCTTGGTCCTGGGCCAGACTTCCTGTTCTGTGTGCATCCCGACAGCTCTCGGCTGGCTCTGGTCGCGCCGGAGTTCGTGAGCGGACGAGTGGTGTATTGGTTCATGCAGCAAAATGGCACGATGAGCAGCCGGCTACTGGACGACACCATTGGCCCTGGATTTTCTTGCTCCTGGACGGATCTGAATGCAGATGGACACCTGGACTTGCTGGTGACGAACCATGCAGCCGTCAATGGCTCCGTGTTTGCCTATTCCTTCAGCAGTGATGACATTGCCTCAGCACAGATCACTCGGCACGTGCTGGCGACCGGCTTCACGCCTGCCAAGATCGACAAAGGCAAGGCCTCGCCTGGAGACGCGCTGGCTTTCCAGCCTCAAACGAATTCGACAGAGAAACCGTATATCTTCGTGTCCGGAGACAACTCCAACAGCATTTTCCTTCTCACACCTGTATCGAAGGACCAATCGGATTGGACGTACTCTCTGAGAGAAGTGCAAGACTTTGGAGCGGACATCGGTCGGCCATCCATCGGCGATGTGGACGGCAACGGTTTTGCAGACATTTTCGTGCCTGTGTACGACTCAAAGCGAGTCGTCCACTACGAATTCCGCCGGGCGCGTAGTAGAGAGATTGCGATTCACGTTTGAAGTTTGAAGCATGACGGATGCTGCAATCCATGTTTCGATGAGTACAGGATAGCTGACTTGAAAATCCGAGTCAACCAGTTTTCAGCAACGAGACATCCTGCTCTCGCTTGCTCAAACGCTCCACATGGTGCTGTACATAAGGGAACTGGACTCTGACCCAGCAGGTCGTGCTTGGCGTAGGCTGTCCAGAGGACCAGGGTGTAAGATTGTCCGACAAGTCTGACACTGGGGTGAACATCAGACTCCAAAACGTGCTTGATCGCGTGTCTGGACCTGAGGAATGTAACTGCTCGAAGCAATAACAGTACAGGAGTAGCTGCCATGCGAAAGTGCAAAACACTCTCTCTATCTGGATTCTAGATTCTAGTTTAAAGTATATCGCGATGCTTGAAACCTGATTGCAGCTACCTGCGAAGCAGCCGTACCTCGTCTGAATTTCGCAGAGTTTACATGTTAGCAGGAAGCTGTAGCCATGGGTTGGTTCTGCCAATGCACGCACTAGCTACCGCGGGCGTAGTTATGTAGCGAAGTCACATCCCGAAGGGGGGAAAGCCCACTGCTTGGTTCCTACAAAATTCGTCAGCATCTCGGCGTATCGTGCAGGGCTTGGCTTGGCTGCTTGGGCGCGGCGGAGAGCTGAAGCTTCGGGAGCCCGGAGCTCCGGAGGCCCAACCGTGCGAGTGCGGATCCTGCTCGGTTCCCAGAGGAGGCCAAGGCTTTGCAATCACGGGCCTTGCATTCGTTGCATTGAGGTATGCCTCCATGTCAGGAACATCCCAGGCAACAGACAGAAGCTCAGGCGACACTAACTTATGGTCAATGGCCCACGGCGAGCGGCTCTCCCAAGGCAGTGGCGCTGGAGGAGTCCATCCGCCGCGCTCTGCCTGAGACTTCGCTTCCTCCTGAGGCTCCGGAAGTTCTGTGTTCCCACTGCAAACTTGAGTCTGGTTGATGTAGTTGGCAAATCATCGCATGACGTCAAGCTGACTTGGAGATACTTGGGGGTTGCTGCAACTCGGGGGGGAGTCCTGGGCAGCAGAGTGTCAGGCAAAACTGCCGGTAGCACCGCTAGACCACGTGTTGTTGGCCGACAAACCGTCCAGAAACTTCTGCGATGCGCTTGACTTAGAATTGCGACACAGAAATTCCTGCATCTGAGCGTGCGCGAGTGGAGCATGAGCCTCCCTTCGTTGTCCAGAGATGGCATCAGATGTTGCAACAACAACTTCTGTATCCGTAATTTCAGCCGTGGTGACATGGATGGGCGCTTGACGCACAGTTAGCATTGGCATGTTAACCAGCATCTCGGTAGCTGTTGCTTGAAGTTCCGTTCCAGGCAAAGCTGCAGATCAGCGTCGAGGACTTGTCGACCTTTGCATTCGACACGCTGCTCTCTCGTACGTTCCCCGGACAAGACATGTGTGGGAGGTGCTGCTTGAGGTGCGGAGTTCTCGTTTGCACCGCCCCTTCGTCGAATTGCTGAGGCACAGATGGAGTCCAAGGCTGAGTTTGCCTGGCAGAGGTAATCCGCCGCAGAAAGACCCTTGCATGTGCACCGTCGGCTGAGGTCAGCACCGACTTCGTTGCGTTGCTTTTGCGTGGATCCCCAGGCCCCAAGGTTCAACAGGTGAAAGAGGGCTGAAGTTTACCAAGAGAGCTCTGGCTTTGAGCTTAGACCTCACAGGTCAACCTACACGGATGGTCTTCTTCCGCCCAGCAGTGCTCACTTTGGCCGGGGGCCCTCGCTTGTGCTCGGCCCCGGGCTTCTCCAAAGTGGCCTTCGCTTTGGGAAGGCACTCTCCTGGCCGATCACGTCCATGACTTCCGGGTGGGCCGATCAGCGATGAGCCATTTGCACTTTGTCCGGGCCTTGCAGTTGCTTTGTCGCAATTCAAGCTTTGGTGCGTAACTTACTCTTTTCAGTTGTCCAGGCTGTCATGGGCTTCGGCAGCTCTGTGTACGCCTCCTCCTTTGCCAGTCACATTCCGTCTCTCGCAGAGTTGCCAAGACGAGCTGAAAGCTGAGTTTGCCGGGCTCAAATACACTGTCTAAGTTGAGGCGGACGCTGGCCACTTCTGCACTGCCGCAGTGCGGGCCTTGGCAGAAGTCCAGGAGTGGAAACAATCCTGCCATTGTCAGCCGCTAGTCAGCAACAAGAACTTCTGTCCCCCTTCTAGGTGCGTGCGGATGCAGCTCTTGCTGCGCTGGGAGGGCTGCGTGTGGCGAGACTCCTGCGGGTGCGCTGGCCCTGCGGAAACTTTGTGCAAGTCAAGGACAGTGATGCTATCAGCCAGCATGTGGACGAGAGCACCGCCTGTCGTCTTGCCAGAGTCCTGACCTTTCACCTGTGGCTGTCACTGTTGCAAGTAGAGTCCTTGGTGACCGTGTAAGTCCGAGACTTGACACCGCAGATCCCGAATCTGAAACCTTGAGCCCAGGTAGCACAGTAGCACACATGGTCTGGGCTCTTTCTCTTTCTCTCTCTCTCTCGCTCTCTCGGGTTTCTGCTCTCTCGGACAGGTCACGGACACCAAGGAGCTTGCGAACCAGGCCCATGAGATGTCAACGGCAAAGGCCAGACCTGCGCACAAAGGAACCCTGCCTGAAGCAGGCCAGCGAATGGCAGCTCGAGCTGCAGTCCTCAATCTCGGCCGAGCCGGCGCAGGGTTGGCAATAACAACACACTCACTCTCTGTCTCTCTCTTTGTCTCTCCTGCTCTGAATACACATCTGATGTATAATGCACATCTAATACTAGTATGAATCGTATGAATCATATCTGGCAGCAGATCGGGCTGTCTTATGGTACGGTGCGTGCATTCGTCGCTGTACGCACATTCCATCCTGTTCTACTCTATCATGATGTATTATAGTACAGTATACACACACATCATGTTGTTTTGTGTAAGCTGATGTATGGCTTCGCGTATGTTGGTTTGAGTATAAGACGTGCCGTATTATATTGCGCTATAGCATGTGATGCAGCATAATATCTTGATATGCTATATCATGCAATGTTGTGTTTTTGTATGTTGTGTACTGGGTTGTTGCATTGTACGTACACTGCACATGCACGACACGTAATATATTAGTATACATCCCCGTGATTCATGTGTTAGTAACGTTAGTATATACTATCACTGAACAACAATACCTACTCAGCCTATTCACATACACAAACTGCGCTGCACAGTGCCTAATGTAGAGCATGTAACCTGAAGTATACAGCATGTATTAAGTAGTATAGATCCTGTAACATGTGAATCTAGACTACATAGCTTTCATTATTACAGTAATACACAGGTGTAGACTGTGTCATACAGATATTAATATATACACATGTAGTATGAAACATATTCTCGTATGAACAATTAAGCACAACATGTACGTAACATCCGACTTACGTAATGTACATGATATTTGTACATGCAGTACCTGTCCTATAATATACATTAGAAACTCACATTATGTACTGTACCTCAACAAACAGAACAGAAGACAATACCATGTCGTGGAATGTCAGGGTTATCAGTTGGTTTACTACAAGATAGAATACACAATAACATAGCACGATTTAACACAACATGCCACAACATATCGTCATACAGTATAATATGTCATAACAAGATACAGATTTTAATATGCACTAATCTCATCTTGCAAAACAAGAACTCAGTACAGGGTCTTTCGGTCGGTCGTCAGTCTGTCTCCCTCCACGCATGCATGCACGCCGTGTGTGTACGCTGAGCATCTGCCAGGCTGCGCTCAGGGGCGTCGAGATTCCGAAGGCAGGGTTCTGCGCGCTCAGACGGATTCAGGCTTGATCGCCGTGAAAACATGTCACGGCAACTAGTAATTACGTAGGAGAAAGAATAGAGGACAAAGACTGTACACATATATATATATATACACATGTGCTGACCCCCGAAGACCCACGGCGAGAAGCTTTTCAGGTCAAATTTCAACCCAAGGGTATTGTAACACCCTAAAAGACAGAAGATGGCTTAATGATCAGAGACAGTACGTTATGACGGTGATGTGGTCTCTTTGCATTTGTCTTGCTCTGGGTTACGCACATGTTAAGATCAATAAGACGGGCACGATTGCGCACGATTTGGGTGATTTTCACATAGAGCACAGTGCCATGGGTTTGCAAAGAGATACGACTTGAGATCATGCATGAAGACGATGCAAAACGGGAATCGGTTGGCAGGCTGGAAGGCTGGCATGCTGACAGGCTACAGGGCTGGGGCTGGATGGAAGGCTGGAAGGCTCCTCCGAAGAGACGTTTTTGACGGTGTTTACGATGGAGAAGAGACCGCGGTGGGTCAAGGGGGGGAATGTGTCCATGTATCTATCTATATCTATATCTATAGCTAGGCTAGATCTATAGTTAGATCTAGACGTCTGCCTGGTGCCCTAAGCTTAGGACCTGGAAGCAACTCAAAATAAGAAGCGTAGTCCTTAAATTTCTTGTTTTGGCCCCTGCCTTTGTGCCCTGGGCCTGGGACTTGGAAACCATTCAAAACAAGAAACGCATGTTATTTTGGCTTCTGCCCTGTGCCCAAGGCTTAGGACCTGGAAGCCACCCAAAATCAGAAACGTAGCCCCTTACATTTCTTGTTTTGGCTTCTGCACCCTGCCTTGGTAGCTGGAAACCAACCGAAATAAGAAACGCCCTTTTCATTTCTTATTCCGTCCTGTGCCTTGTGCCCTGGGCTTAGGACCTGGAAACCACCCGAAATGTCAAACGCAGCCCCTGACATGTTTTTGTTTTGAAATTTCAGTGGTTTGAGAACACCCGAATTGAGAAGCGAACCACCCAGCCAAATGAAGTAATGTCACCTTGACAATGGGTACCCTTCATTTCTTCGCTGCTGGAAGGCACTTTAAAATTCATGTCTCTTGTAGCTATCCGGCAGACGTAGCCGCTGCATCTCTTATCTGACCATTGCTCGTACAGTGATTGCACCGTAGCTATTTATCTATCTATCTATCTATCTATCTGCCTACCTACCTACCTATCTATCTATCTATCTATCTATCTATCTAAATGCATGTGCACATGTATGTTGTTGATTGTTTATGTCTAATTATGCACGTTTGTGTACTACATTTATGCATGTGTGTGTATGTATGTGTAAAGGAATACGTGCATGTATGTGTATGTATGTGGTTGTATATGTATGTATATATGTATGTACAGGTATGTGTATGCATATGTGTATTTTCCGTATAAGTATATGTATATGTGTGTATGTATTTAAGTAAGTAAGTATGTGGATGTGGATGTGGATGTGGATGTGGATGTGGATGTGGATGTGGATGTGGATGTGGATGTGGATGTATGTACGTATTCATGTTTAATGTATGCATGTATGTATGTATGCATGAATGTATGTATGTATGTGTATACAACCTGCAGGCATGTATGTGATGCCTGAACATTCTTCATAAATTTCGACAAGAGGGCAGGACAACTTTAACTTGGATAGGTTGTGCTGACTTTAGCAGGAGAACGTGCAAGGTAAACAGGCACCGAATGTGTCGCTCTCGTGTTTGTACACCCTGCAGGCACGCGGGATCGAGGGCAACGCTGCTGCTGAGGTCTTGAATGTAGCCGTTTGAGAGTCTTCAGGGGTTTTCTGAAGGAAGCAAAATTTTTGCAGCACGAGTGGGAAAAGAGCTGGTGTAAGTGTCTTTCCATCCTGTAGGCGGCCGTGGCGCAAACAGCAGACCAAGAAGGCCAAGGTGCGAAACAGCGTGACGTTGGGGCATTCCGCACTCCAATGCTCTTGCACTTGAGGTGAAGAGGACAGCTCGGACTCTGAGGACGACAGCAGCACCACTGTCAGCTCAGGTGCCCTTGCGTTCCTGGCATGAGCGCTTTTGCTGCACCAGCTTTATTCAGGTTTGTTTCGCCAGCGCTGCCACCTGCGGCTTACAAGCACAGACATGTTCAAGCTCTTCTGCATTAGGTCCGTTGTAGGACCGCCACACGCCTGCACCACATCAACCATCGTAGTGTCTTTCCTTCCACTGTTAGCCTTTCCGGACATGGCTGCGAAATTGGCAAGTCCGTAGTTGCGGACGACTTCACGCATGAAGCGTCGGCGCAAAGCCCCGGCAGGCGTCCTGGACCGGCCTGGACAGTCCAAGTCTGTGCTGTTTACTCCGGCTTCCAGCCATCCAGAAGTCGATCCAGAGAAAAATGATGCACCAATAGAAATGGATCGCAGCCATGAGCTTGACCCGCTGTCACACGATGAACTGTCCGAAAAATACGGAGTCGGGTTCTCCATACTGCGACGGATGGGATACTCAGGGGCTGGGCTGAAACCTGGAGGCTTGCAGGCTCCGTTGGCTGCAAGAGCGAATGTTGGGCGACAGGGCTTGGCAGAGGCTGCCGAGTCTTCCGGGGCAGCGTCCATCAGCCAGGAGGAGCTGCAAGAACCCGCTGTGGACCTGACGAACCTGCTGTCGCAGACGTTACGGAGCATGCGTGAGGCTGGCGACGACGACGAGGCGAATGAACTTCAGCACCTGGCCACTTTCTGCATGCAGGGCATGCAGGGCGAGGTCCTGGAGACGCTGCTTCCCAGGCCCTCAAAAAAACGGAAGCAGAAGATCCAGGCTGAGGACCAAGCGAAGCGGGATCACGATGAGGCCGCACTGCGGTGCCTTCTGGGATGTTTTGAGAATTCCAACTTCCCCGTGGAATCGCAGGAGCAGGCCCGATTCTTGAAGTGGAACAAGCACTGGGCTCCTTCCGTGGGAAGTTTTGAAGCCTTCGTTGCGCGGCACAAACCTGAGTTGCACGCCGTTGCGTGCCCAGGAGGTCTCTGGCTCCTTTTTCCTCGAGAGGGGCAGGGGGAGTCCACAGAAGAGTGCTTGCAACGGAAGTGCATCGACTTCTGCCAGCAGCATGTACATGCACGTGGCAAGTGCCAGGGTCGGCGAAAGTGGCAGCATCTCCTTAAAAGCTTGCAGAGGATCTTCAAGGGCCGTCGGCCTGCTGGTAAAGTGCCGCCGGCCGAAGCTTCACAGCATGATCCGAAATCCTCGGCGGGCTCTCTGGAGTCAGAGAGCCTGGATGAACCCAGTGATGCTTTCTGCCATCTCAAGCAGCATGTTCGGCTTTGTTAGTGTGTGTTCGGCAGCGCACGTAAGCTACGTTGCAGAAACATGAAAGAGATCCTAACTCCAAAACGTCAATCCCCCAAAACGTAAAATTCTCAAAAGGGGCTGACTTTGGCAAGATTCAGGGGTCTTCTATGTGAGGGACTTTGTGTAGGAGTCCAGTGCACGCAATCCCACATTCGGAGTGGCTTTGAGCAATCTGAGGTTGATGGGGCTTCCCTTGGCTGGGCCTTCGATTGTGGAGACCACAGCAGACTCAGACCGCAGACCGAGACCGTGGAGAAAAGACATCCGAATGCACGCAATCGTGGAAGACCGCCCAGCGCAATTTGGAGCGAAGTTGCCAGTAGCCCGGTCCGGGGAGTGTGGGCTGCAGGTGAGGCTGCAGCCAAGGGCTCCACGCCGGCAGCTAAGGTGAAAAGTGACCTAGTGACCTAGTTAGACATGGTACAAGAATCTCTTTGTCGATGAGAATCGGGGCTTGTTCGTCGTGCTCGCTCAGCATCTTGAGCAGTACTTCCTCGCTTTCCACTCTTGCTAGGTCCGATGTGGAAGAGCTTGCGGAGGGATGCGCTGGGGACACGGTCAAGAAGCCCGAGGTGCAACGGATCCGCAACACGAGCTTTCTCATGGTGTGCTCATGCTGTGCGGGTTGGACTGCTAGCTCCACGCCAGGAGCGGCAGATGCTCACCACGAAGCACCGTGCGCAACTCACAAAGGAAGGCCCGGCACGGATAGGACACGAACGCAACGGAACGGCGTCTAGCGAGTTCTAGATTCCAAAGCCTGCTTCTGTGGCTGCAAGTGAAACTATTGACTATTGACCCTCCACAATGGGCCGCCATCGTTAGGCTACAAGATCGTTGGTTCGCATTCGGCAGTCAAGCTCTGCCGCTGGACGAAGCACCAGCTCAGAGGCGAGGCACGTGACAGTCACACTTCAGCCAAGTTGGCTGAGCTGCCGGTGGAAGAATTTCGAGGCCGGGGAGGATGCTACAAGCACTCCTTCTATGGCATCACTTCTTACCAGTGCAGGACTCTTATCTTGGCCTCTGGTGGAGAGTCCCGTTCATGTTTCATGCTGCTAGCTACACAACTCCTAGGCATGGAGGCGACGCCCTCCCTGGCATGTCGGGGCCCCTGCAGAACAGTGGGGCTTCTTTTCAATTGCTGGCACTTCGAGATTGGACAAGACCAGGCCCAAGACCAGGCCAGCCAGCACCATGGTCTTGGGACTCTGATGCGAGGTGCCAACAAGTGCGTTTTCTGCTGGCGCCATCACAAGAATCCAGTGGGCTGGCACCTGAGATATTGGCACCAGCCACGCCCGCACCACCGGTGGAATCTCGCCAAGCTGGTGCATTCTCAAAGAACCGAGCAGATCTCGTGATATCTGATCGCAGTTGATGCTAGGAACCGAATGGAAATGGTCGATGGATCCTCCTGATCAGAGCCTTGCTCGCAGCCTTGATCAGCATTCCCTCTGAGACTTCAAGCTTGCGGAAGCAGAAGTCTTGACCTAAGGATTGTGGCCGAAGGCATCGATCAGCATCGGAGGCTCCTGCCCCCTTCCCATGTTCGTAAAGCAACGATACAAAACTCCTGAGCCCCCACATGAGAGGATGATCCGGGAGTGCAAGGGCTCGCGCCTCAGGACTTGTGATTTCGTTGTGCTCCTGCAATGCCCGGTCTCCTGGCACGAAGGCATTCCTGGAGTCCAAAAGGAACGCTTCGAAGAAGCGATGACCGTGAGGCAGCTTGGATGAACGGCATTTGGGAGTTTCCGAAAACTAGGGTACCTTATTTTGGTGCCCTTATAATAAGGATCCTACTATTTAGGGTATTATATTAGGGTCCCTATTTTCGGAAACTCCCATTTGGCCCTGTCATTGGACGGGAGAGCCGGGAGAGTCTTCTTTCTACACTTGTGCAGAGGCATTGTGCTCTCTCACTCGTCGGCGAGCCGATCATGTCGGCCCCTGCACTAGATGCACATCCAGGTTGCATCTAATGCCCGGTGGAATGACAGGTATCCTAGGATAAACGAGCTTGTGGGCGAGCTCCATCAGAGAAAGCCGGTGCCTTCGATCCACGTCGATGTGTTCCGAATTGTATTTTCCTGCATGTCGGACTGCTTGGGATGGTCGCATGAGCTGAGAATCAGCACCTTCCTGGTGACGAATGCACAGTGCCGGCCCAAGCGCTTCACCACGAGAGCTGTGTGCAGGTGAAGTGATTTTGTCCTTCTGTCCAAGCTGAACGAAACCTCTCAGGTTTCCGGAGGCCATTCGCAACCTCGATCCGATCACGCAGCTATACGTCAGTCAGCAACCCAACGACTTCGTGGACATCAGTCTGAGTTACTCTCTTTGCGAATTCTGATGCACTGCGCATTGCTGCTGCTCCTGCTGGCGATTGCAGATGCCTTGCCTGGGTGGTGTGGGCGGAGGGCTTTGGAACACCATGTCCGTGCTGCAGCCGTGCAGACATGATGTTCAGATTTCTGAACCAGCCAGGGTCTGCCTCTGTGGCTTCTCCGAGGTGTAGATGCCGGGACGCCGGAGACGCTTAAGGCGGTTGATAGGCCTCGCACGAAGTTCCGCAGTGTGGGGATGTTTAGATACGAGTTGACAGGTTGTGCGGTACTGTAATGGCCGGCTGTCGTCATGGAATGGAGGCCGCTGTTCTCCGACTTCTGGCAGAGATACTTGGACTCCCTGAAGGTTGGGACTGCAAGGGAAAAGCCCCTACCCGTGAACCGCTTGCAATCAGTTGCAGAGGCATTGAAGGCCAAGAAGCAGCGAACAGTCTACCGACTGACCCTGGTCAAGGATGGGCTTTGCTCAAGCCGAGTGTGGAAAGTTGTGGGTGGAGCAAAGAGAGGCACTATGCAGCTTGAGACATCGACATAGACTCCGACATAGAAACCGCATTTTGTTGGGAGGCGGTTTGAGCAAAGTTGCATGGCCTCAACTTCCCACTATTCACCTCGAACCTACAAGAAGTAGAACTTAATCTTAACAACAAGCAACCAACTGTACCTCGTTGGCGGCAGGGCCACAACATGGAGGAGGCGGCGAACTACGCAAAGCTCGTGGCGCCCTTGCCCGAGTCGGGTGTTCTTTGTTATGAGTAATACAAGTACCCATGCCCTTACTCTCAGTAAACATGGAGCCTATAATGCTGATCAGCATTCCTTTTGCTACCACGGCATACCACTGCTACTGCTACGCTTCTTAGTGCGATGCTACCAGACTAGCCAAGCAAACTCTCACGAAAATCATATGGGTAGTTCCTTGGGGGACGTAAGAAGGACACCCAAAAGGGACCCTAATGTAGACAACTANNCCCCCCCCCCCCCCCCGCCCCCCGGGTTTTTGAGAGCCGAGGTTGGGAACCCCGGACTTCATCGAGATCAAGTCCGTGACCTTCTGCGGCGAGTCTAAGGCCGGCGAAAGGGAGGAGCAGGCCTCCTTCGAATCGTAGAATCTTCATGAGACTCTGCGTGAGACTCTCCATGAGAATGGTCGTAAGAAGATCATAGAGTCGCAGAGGGATCTTTCATCTTCTGAAGCTGTGTTCCTTGATTTTGGAAGCTGGTTCGAGGAGTGTTTAAATCTGCTGAGCTCTCCGGGCTGCTCTCGGTTCACAGTCTCTGGCGAGGCATCCTCGCTTACGATCCAGTGCACGCCCTGGCACGAAGAGGCCGGGCTTCCAAGAAAAAGGCCGGTCGCATTGAGGAGGGCGTTGTCGACGATGTCGACGGACAACGAGACAGAGGGTAAGTTCATACGGCAGATCGCTGCATACATCGCTGACACAGCTGACGGTGGCCGTCATGAGCTCAGGTCAAAGCCTTCTCGGAAGCCATGCTCTCGAAGGACGGGGCGCAGCTAGGCCTAAGTCCGCTTCGCTGTGCTCCCTGGGCAGGAAGGTCTGGAGTCCCAGTACGAGCTCGCTTGCGAACACCAGCACAGCTGCATTGAGCTGCCGGCTCGCTTGAGGGGGGAACATCACTTTGTCTTCCAGTAATTCCTCTTGGATTCACGGGATCCTTCAAGGTGCTGCTCGCCCACAAGCGCTACAAGGCCCTGGGATGCCCTCTGGTACGCCTTGGTCCGCGACTTCCTTGCAGGTCGATGGGCGCTGGCATACTTGGATCGACTATGACCGCTTCCACGAACTTGTCAAATCAGGTGCGCCAATGCGCTGGCGAGCGTGCTCGTCGGTGCCCCTGGTTTGGAACGGAACCTGTGCCAAGGTGTCGAATTTGATGCTACTGATTACTGGGCTCCGACGCCGGAGTGGGCCCTTTACGGCTCGGAAGAGGCCTTTTCGGCTTTGGCTTGCTGGCGTCTGGGCTGTGAATTGCTGCTCAGGCGGGATTTGACCCCAACGAGCCAGGGACCTGGAGCCATAGATGCACCTCCCCTGCCGCCATGCGCCCCTGCATGTGCTAAGGACGCGCGTGTATCACAACCGCACCAAGAAGCGTGCCCAAGCCGGCCTCCTTTCAAAGGACCTCTTGCGGCTCTGCGCATGGAAGGAAGGCCTTTGCCCTGCTCTGCTCTGCTCTGCCCTTCCCTGTAGGAGCAGCTGAAGATGTACCCAGACAATCCGGCCAAGCAGTAAGCGCCGATGAACAGCTCTGAACCGCGGCATGCATTTTCCAGCTGTCCCGATGGACGCCGGGTTCCTGCATGTTGCATGCAGCATAAAACGAGGACCTTTCAGAGAATACTTCGCACACGTAGCCGAAAGGACCTGGAATTGGACCAAGAACAGTCAGCTAAACAGAAGCTCCTACTGCCACACTTCGTGAGACGTTTCAGCAGACCATTCTTATGTGGAGTTTGGTCGTTAGTGGGACCGTAGAAGAATAGCATAGACGCGTAGAGTAGGTAGGTACGCAAAGGGCTGGACCTTTGCAGACCCTTAGATGTCGGCCTGGCCAGTGGAGCCCAGCGCGCGACAAAAACACATCCCACGATGACGATGGCCGTCCTGATCTGCGCTGATCCAACGATTCTGTGCCCTGCGCTTGAAGACTTGCAGGCGGTACGTCAGCTGGCTTTCGACTTCCTCCAGCGTCCCATACACGTTCACATAGGCCATCTTTGCACCGGCTTTCTCACGTTGTGACTCGAGCTTGGGTGCTGATCCCTTGGTCCCTGCGCAGCCAGCACAGGCGAGATGAACACTGCGAAAGCGAACACAGACGTGACGCAGCATGTTGTTCTCCTAGACAGGCCGCAACATTTGTTTCAGCATCGTGTTATCGTGTGCCATGCCGCCGTACCAATCTTATCAAACAATAGCATTTGGCATCTTCTGTCATCGTTCGCGCAGGCCGTACGACAAGGATCAGAAGTTATCACCTCAGTCTGGGTGTCACAGTCTCATAGCAGAGGAAAGCCTGCGGTGCAGAGACAGCTGCCAGCTGTCTGGCATGAAATGAGGGAGTGGCCTACACACGTGATCAGCTGATTCACTCCTGCTTTCTTGTGAAGCTATAACCAGGCTGGACGAGATGCTTTTGGAGCATCTTGGGGAGGAGCCAGCAAATCTAGGCAGTGATGGATTCGGGACATCATGTGGCCATCGCGCGCCCAGGACGAGCTGGCCATAGTGTTCGTATCCACCAAGAAATCTGTCGAGGACAGCCATCATGATTGTGGCAGGTTTTGGCTTGTCGAGAGTCCTAAAGTCCTATAGACGTCCGATAGCTGCGAGAGCAGACAATGTGGCAAGCAGCTGTCGGTCATGGTTCGTGTCGTGCCTGGTCGGAGGAAATCGCCAGACTCCTGATGAGACATAGCTATGGCGTCACTGAGATCCATGGTGACAAGGCCTCCGCATGAAGCTTCTCGTCGAACTTGTTAGAGGAGTTCAGTCCGGCCTGCAGCTCCTTATCATGCCAATCCCACTTTGCCTAGACTAGCAGCGATCCCAAGCAGCTTCGTCTCGACATGCCTCGACTCCAGACATCTCCAGACTCACCCTAAACCCTAAACCCTAAACCCTAAACCCCTAAACCCCTAAACCCTAAACCCGAAACCCCAGACTACACGAGAATCCCAGTGGTTCTCAGGACCAACGAGAGCGAGACCTCGCCTTGCGGTCTTTCACCAACAAGGAGAAGCGCGCCTGGCACTCAGGGTAGTACCTATAGTCTCCATTGGAGTTCCTTTTTTGGTTAACCAATTTTATGGTGAGGATCCTACAATATAAATTTGGTTAACGAAAAAAGGGACTCCAATGGAGACGATAGGTATCATGAAATTCGACTCTCTGGCTGAAAGTCTGGTCAATTGTGACTCGTCTGATTTTGCTGGCAAGTGCTCTGGGCTGTACATGTCGTGCAATGAATCCATGGCCTTTCGGCTGTTGCAGCCCATCACTCTGTTTTGCACCCCGTCTCTGTTGCGGTGTTGGTGTGACTTGTGACTGTCTAAGAGTTGTAAGTCTCCAGAGTTGCACAAGCATGGGTGCGTGCGGGCGTGTGTGCATGTGTGCGCGCTGTCTGTGTGTGTGTGTGTGCATGTTTATGTTGTTTTAATTTTGTTGGTGTGGGTGGGTGGGTGGGTTGTTCTCCTGTTCTGATGCCGACGGCTGTAAGGAGAACTAAACTGTTGCCCTAGCACGATCGATCGCGTGGAAATAGTTCTGGAAATGATTTTTCGGCTGTCGGAATTGGATGATTGTTAGAACTTGTTGTCGTGCTCTCCTGGTAGAAGGATGTTATGCTATGGCGGCATGATGACATCAGCTCAGTGCAGGACTGCGTAAGTTTATTGAAGATCTTGGACTGCAGCTCCACTGCATAGTCTCCTTTCATTGATGGGACGTAGATCACGGCTGGGCGTGCAAGATTGAGGTTTACCTTTGGTGATATGCTCGATGCAATGAGGTGATGATAGCCACTGACGTGGCTTCACGCGGCCTTGACATCAAGGGCATGGGCCTTGGTTTTGCTGTGCAGATGCGCAGACCGACAGAGGAGCGCTCGGATTGACTACCTTATTCTTGGTGCGGCTTCAATTGCGAAATCCTGCACGATAGGGGATTTCCATGCATCCTCACCGAAAATGCAGCTCAAGGCGTGAAGTTAGTCATCAATTACGATGCGGCGAACACGCCCGAGGACTGCTTCTCTCGCCTGGGACTTTAAGTGTAGGCAGGCACAAGGCAAGGTTCTACGGCACTTCGAAGATGGCAGCCAAGACAGCAAGCAAAAGTTTGGGCCGAGTCCAAACATGTGGTCAGCTAGTGCTACCAACCTTGAGCCCTTCACCTTCGATCGTTGAAGCCGGCTAAGACGGGCCAAGCACTGAGTATTGGGACCGAAGTTGGATGGGTGCAACTATTCAAAGCTCATGCGATGGATCAACGAGCAAGAACAAACACTCAGCCTTCGCAGGATTACGTGCACCGAATAGGTCGCACGGGCCGCGCCGGGGAGAAGGGCATCTCGTGCTCCGCACACTAACTTTGTGGCAATCACAGATCCTGTGAATACTGTTGGCTAGCTGGCTAGCCCTGCACCTGCCACCCAGAAGTAGATCTTCGCAATGATTGAGGTCTGGGGGCTACCCAGCGAAGCTGAGTTCAGGTACACATTCCTAGTGCGAGATGACCCAACTGACGTCAAGAAAGCAAAAGCCATCTTAGACGTGTGGCACTCAGCGTGCTTAGGTCTCTTGAGCCAATCGTAGTGCTGTGTTGGGCGAGGAAATCCCAAAGCTCAGTCCGTTTGCTCTCCAGGTCATGCAGACGGCAGATCAGGCAATACCTGAGGCTCGCACATGACTGCACCCTGCACCGTGTTGACTTCGAACTTGTCTCAGCTTCAGCTTCAGCGTCGTCGCCTTGTACAGCTGAGCGAGCCGTCCGTTCTTGCCCGATTGTCGGGAAAGCAGGAGCTCCGACTGCTTGTCGGGGTGAAGGCCTCCAAAGGCGCTCTGCGGTTCATTACAGGGGGGTGGGTGTGCATGAGCGCTAATGGGAAAATCAGCAGATGAACTGCAGACCAGCTGAAGTCTTCCGTAGGAAGTTAAGACCGTTGACTGCAGGTGGCGGCAAGGGAGGCAAAGCCCACAAGGCCATGCAGTTCTCTCTGTCTGGTCTTAGTTTCGTTTTACATGTGGGGCTTCCGGCTACCGCAATTGCACTGTCAATGTCGAAAACCGACACCAGGGCACGAGTTGATCACGCATTCATTTGCCTTGCAGGCGTTGTTTTGCCTTCGTCCTACGGCTCCGAAGCACGCTTCGTAGGGGCTTCGGCTACCCGGCCTGTAGGAGGTGTTCGGTCTCGAAAGCTCCTATACAAACGTGATCTTCGTATGTTTGCACGCTTGCGGCAGCGACAGGGGGGCGGCAAGAACGGCGGAAAATCCGGCAAGGGCAGCTTCAAGGCAAGGCCCAGACTTTCAACGTCTGCGTAATACCACTTTCCGCCTGTTGATTTCGTCCATCGTCACTGCCAGGGCAAAGGCGGTGGTAACCATGCTCGCTCTGCCGTGGACCTGATTTCGGTTTCTGAGAACAGGGTGCAGAAGTCGAATGCTCGGCGCGCAAGTGCCTGCCAAGGGCCCTCCCCCTGGTCCTCTTGCCGGCGTCGCGCCCATGCAGCATCCTGAGTCCTCTCAGATACCACCAGGGTTAGGCTTCATGTCAACGCGAACTGTATCGGGCGATGCCGAGAGCAGTGGCAAACTATGTTTGAAGCTCGGCTGGCAAAGATGCTGATCAGTTTCGGCTGTGTCATTCATGTGATCGGCTGCCTGACGTTTCTAGGCGGAATCGGTAGAAGCTGTGGCCAGGCAGGGTGGCCTCATGGGCGGCTACGGCGGCAGCGGCGCACTCGAAGGGAGCACTTCAGAAGCCAGATCGAACAGCCGCAGCGGTTAAAGGAATCAGCAAGCAGCAAGCTCCGGATCAAGCAAGGCAGGTGTTGTTTATGTTCCTCGCGCGCTGTTTGCATACAGCGAGTCATTGTGCAGTGATATAGTTATACAGCATTTGCATCTAGTAACCCTAGCATACACCTTCGTCAATGCCAGACGATCGTCAGAGGCACGCGAGATCATAGACCAATCGCGAAGCTTTGGCAGTTTGCGCGCCTTTTGCGGCACGATGGCCGTGAGTGTGATGGCGCCGGAGATCCTCAGCCTGGCAGGCTACAACACTGCTGATGTGGCCAGTGGCAGTAGCTTCCCGGCGGAGGGCAGCTTCACCGGTTTGGACCTCTCTCTGTTGGAAGGTGATGCGGACGAGGACGTTGTCAAGCAGTCCTTGCAGTTTACCAGGCTGTCCGGCAAGAAGGCGAATCTTCGTCTCGCCCACGTCGATCTTGGGAGCGGCACAGATGCCGAGCAGCGAATGTTCGATCTAAGAGCTGAGCGCGAGCTCCGCAGCACGGAGAGGGCCGTGCATGTCGGAAAGAAGAGTGAGTCTGCCAAGCAGAAGGACTTCGCGGTCTCGGCCCAAATGAGGCGTGATGCCACTGCTGGTATCGAGACAGCCGATCAGAGACTTGCGGAGATTGATGCGGAGCTACAGGAACTAGAGACTCTCCAGTCCTCATTTTCCTGGTTCCAGCTCTTCTCGCAGCTGCAAGCACAGTCCGTGAACTACGTCGGCCACCTTGACCTCAGCAACTGCGGTCTTCATGCAACAGCTATTGAGCTCTTGCAAAAGGTGCTCTTGGATCTGGAACATAGAGGGGATGGCCATGCCATCGAAGAGCTTGTGCTTGACAGCAACGACCTGGGTGACGCCTCCACGGTAGCTCTTGCATCCCTGATCCGCCTGTCGTCTCGAATCCAGGTCCTCAGGCTCCGAAACATCGGCATCACAGATGGAGGATTCTCCCAGGTGATCTCCGCCATCGTTGGCAACAAAAGCTTGTGCTTGCTGGACCTCCGGGGAAACGGGTTGTGCACCCTTGAAAACAGCAAGGTAGTGGTTCAAGGCCTGCGGCGCTTTAACCAACTTGTACAGATCCTGGTGGAATAGGCGAACGGCCTTCAGTGCATGTTACCGAGAATGCATGAATTTGCCCGCAAAAGGAAAATCCATGCTTGTGGGCCTTGGACCATCTGCAACCCTCGTCTTCTCGTATGCTGAAGAAATTAGCATCTAAGTTATCTAAGCATGGATTGCAGCTCATACGATGTCATTGCCGTTCCGATTACCGCACATTGTCCGTCATGCCCGTCATGTTCTGCGGCTGCTTGAGGAAATGGGAACTACTACCGGTAGCAGCCGGTAGCTGAGACTCTGGGAGGGAAGATGAATTTTACAAGGCCCAAAATTGTAGCCCTGGTATTGTCAAGGTGGGAATCATGTTGCAATCTTGCTTCAGGCGGCAGATCAAAGAGTTTGAGTTGCACAGGTCCCTGGATGACACGCACGGGCGTGAGAGCCGCGTGGTGGGTTCATGAAGCAAGCCGCGCTGTGGCTTTGATCCTTGGCATGTCTTTGTGATTCCAGCCAGCGGTTGTAGTGTAGTACAGCATACTAGGAACTACTGTACTGCAGATCTGAGAAGTCGGCCTAAGCTTCTTGCGTCCTTGAATACTGAACACTCTTCTAGCTCCAATGAGTTTAGGCAGTTTTGATTCATGATCCTTGCCCGGCCTGGCGCAGCGCCTGAGTGCATCCTGCTTGGACCAAGCTTTCGCAGCTTTCGATGAGATGCCGTTCTGTGATCCAGGAATCCAAGCATGAAGCACATGTAGGACCCCTGTCTGTCGTGGGCTTGAGAAGAATCATCTCAAAGTCTTTGGCACCCAAGCGTCCGAGCGACCCGTTCCTTGAAGGTGCCAAAGCCTTCACTCAATTCTTTGTACATCAGCGTGATGCTGATTGGCAAGATCCAGCCGCAAAACTGACTGCAGGAAAAACGTATTCTGAGCGTTTTTTCTTGCTGTCTGTCTCTGTCGCTGTCTGCGTCGTTGTTTCTGTCTCTGTGTCTGTTTGTATCTCGCTGTCTGTGCTTTTCTCGCTCGCCCTGTGACTCGCATATTGTCGTGCATATGCTCGCGGACAGCCTCTCTTAGAGCTTAGAATCTACTCTGTCCGAGGTAAAGACAACACAAGCAGCTAGAAGTTTCATGGTGGCCTTCGCCTTTTCTGGAGATTCGGAGCAGCCCGGCAACCTCGAACAAAAGCCCACCTTTGCCTGACATGATCTCCCACAACACCGCTGTTTCGGCTCAAAGGCCTGCACTTGTGCTGCACGCACTGAAGCAGGCGATGCGCGCACTTGCTAGCAAGTCGTTTGTTTGCCGGGTTGCAGGATCTGGTGTTGGGCTGTAGTATAGAAACTGTCAAGACGCACTAGCCTCATTAGACCCCCGGCCGGCACCTGTGTGCACCTGCATCGTCGTCTTTCTCCAAGTGCCCTCGCCTGTTCTGTACATGTCATGTGAGAGAGGGTGCACAGACATCAGAATCTTGATTTGATTTGGCAATCCTTGTGGACACTCGCACGGATGTTGAGGATTTATTTGCAGCTTCATGCATGCAGGACAGCACCCGGTTGTCAGTTGTTAGTTTAGATAACGAAAGAGCTGTTCTTTGACACTATGTGGCTCTTCTTTGCTCTTGGTGTCCCGAGTCTTCCCGACCCGGACTGGTAGTATGTTTGGGTGAAGCATGGGCGTAATCTCAGCTCAGCCGAATCACATGTCACTTTGAAGTAGATCTTTTCTGCCAGCGCCGTGCCTGTGAAGGCTGCAGGGGCAAGAGGCCCCGCACAATGAAGATCTCAGCGGCCTAAGACAATCTGCTTTACAGGCCGGCAAGGGATACGGTGCAGGGCAGTACGGAGGTTGGCCTTTGCCCTTCCCGGGGTCCGGAGGCTCTTGGTTGTCGCTGGACTGTAAGGGTTGGGCACGCAGAGGAATGCATGATAATTCTGAACATCCAACTTTGAAAGACTGGCGAGGCAATGTGGCGCTGTTTGCTGGGTGCTGCGCTGGCAAGCCACTGGCTTTGACACAGGATGCTCACGTTCAGTTCTTGTGCCCAGAACCAGGGTTGTCTTTTGCGCCTGTGCATGTTTCGCTGTTGCGGTTGCTGTTGCGTTTGCTGTTGCTGTTGCTGTTGCTGTTGCTGTTGCTGTTGCTGTTGCTGTTGCTGCTGCTGCTGCTGCTGCTGCAGCTGCGGTTGCGATTGCAGTCGCTGTCAAATCATGTTGTCGTTGTAGTAACTTGTAGTAGTTGTTGCCGTTCCGCCGTTGCAGAAATTTCATCGTTATGGTATGTTGCTCCTATCAGAGCAGTTACAGAGTATTTGCAACGCTTGGTCGCACTCAGGCCTGGCGGACGAAGCTGCCGGGTCCAGCTCTCGGAGCAGAGGAAGATTCACATTCTCACAGGTACGATGTGGAGTCCTGAAAGGATGAGATATGAGAGGCAATCCGTTTCTCGCATTCGCAGTTGGTGTCCGAGCAGGTCACTGCCAGAGTCACTGCAGCGCAGTGGCCGCATGA